GAGTTGACTCATTGGAAAAGACCCTGATGCTGGGAGGGATTGGGGGCAGGAGGAGAAGGGGACGACAGAGGATGAGATGGCTGGATGGCATCACCGACTCAAAGGGCATGAGTTTGAGTAAACTCCAGGAGTTGGTGATGGACAGGGAGGCCTGGCGTGCTGTGATTCATGGGGTCGCAAAGAGTTGGACATGACTGAGCAACTGAAATGAACTGAACTGAATGTGGGCCACCTCTCCCATGGATGCAGAGGTGACATGCTCCGCAGTAAGTAGCCATAGGTATTTATTTATTTACTGATTTCACTGGGTAATGATTCTTCCCAGTTATACCAGGAAGCCAGCTAGTGGGTGAATACATGCAAGCTAAGTTGCTTCAGTCATGTCCAGCAGTGGTCGGGAAGGCCTTTCAGGGGAGGAATATCTGAGAGGCCTTCACAAAGGCCAGGTTGTAAAGAGGAACCTAGGGGGACAAAGGGGGCTTTTTTACTAAGTATGCGCACGTGCACACACACACACACATACACTGTAAGCAGCTGGGTTCTAATGCTGACTCTTCCACTGCCTGGCGTTAACTGTCACCCCGAGTTCCCCCATCTGGAAATGGGGGTGGCTGTAACAGGTGATCTCTGAGTCCATCAGGTTTGACCACTCCAGTGTGTATTCTGGAGTGGAATGCTGGGGTCAAGGTCACCATCCTGGCAGGTCCAAGACTCCTGGGAGTGGGTTGGATTCAATATATTCAGCTATGGACATCAGCCGAAGCTCCAGTACTATACTCCAATACTTTGGCAACCTGGTGTGAAGAGCCAACTCATTGGAAAAAAAAAAAAAAGAAAAACTCTGATACTGAGAAAGATCGAGGGCAGGAGGAGAAGGGAGCAACAGAGGATGAGACGGTTGGATGGCATCACTGACTCAATGGACATGAGTTTGAGCAAACTCCAGGAGATAATGAAGGACAGGTAAGCCTGGCATGCTACAGTCTATGAGGTCACAAAGAGTCAGACACGATATCGTGACTGAACAAGAACAACAATGAGGGAAGAACAACCAAAGAGGGAAGGGGGATGGGATAAATTGAAAGATTGGAATTGACATATACACACTACTACATATAAAATAGGTAACTTAGAAGGACCTACTGTATATCACAGGAAAACCTACTCAATGCTCTATAATGACCTATATGGGAAGAGAATTTTAAAAAGAGTGGATCTACATGTATGTATCAATATAGCTGATTTACTTTGCTATACAGCAGAAGCTAACCCAACATTGTAAAGTAACTATGGTGGTGGTTTAGTCACTAAGTCGTGTCCAACTCTCTGAAACACCATGGGCTGTAGCCCACCAGACTCCTCTGTCCATAGGATTTTCCAGGCAAGAACACTGGGGTGGGGTTCCAGTTCCTTCTCCAGCGGAATCTTCCCTAACCAGGGATCAAACCCTCATCTCTTGCATCTTCTGCTTGGCATGCAGACTCTTTACCGCTGTGCCACCTGGGAAGCCTTAAATTCACTATATTTCAATAAAATGTTTTATATATATATTCAGCCAACAGGCCCCCCGGGTCACATCTAACCCTGGTTGCAGTCTGCCTCCCATCCCAGCCGCCACACACACAACCTTTCTAAAGGCTTGTCATGCCCTTGGTCAAACTCCCTCCATGGCTCCCCACTCCCCAACCCTGGCATCCAAAGCCCGTTGGGAGGGGAACCCTGCCCATCCTCCACCTCAGCCACAAAGATGTCTCTTCTCAGTCTGTTTTGGACCTGGCCCCTGTTTTCCTCACTCGGTTTGTAAATGCTGGTGTTCCTTAGAGCTTGGGCCTGGGTGGTCCTCTCCTTGCCTTCTGTGCACACCTCCTGAGACTCTCAACGCCTCCCCTGGCCGCCAAGACCCATCTCTGAGGTACCTCCCATGCCTCAGTGCTCCCCCCAGTAGGTCCAGCCAACTCCTGGATAGTCCCCCAAAGGTACCCCCCAGACCCTCAGACGCACCTCACCTCCTACCTCCCTCCTTCTTCCTCCATCCAATCTGTCATCAGCTCCAACCTAAACATCCTTTGCTTCCATTCACTTTTCTCCATCCCCATCTTTCATCTTTCTAGTAACCCTCAGAGGAAACTGAGGGGTTCTTCAGTGGAATTGCAGCAAAAGCCTCCTCCTCCACCCAGGAAAATCCCAGCTGACATCTCAACCCATGAAATGTCTTCCTGAATTGAAATGCGGAGAAATTGGAACAAGATAAAGCATGATCCATGGAAAAGGGGTCCCTGCTCCAGGTGGGTTGCTGGATGGGGAGGCCCAGAGAAACCCTGTCCCCACCTCATCACCCCCCAGGCCAGGTACAGGCTGCAGTCTTTCCCAGGGCAGACATCAGCTCTACTCCTAGCAGAAAAAAACAAACATGCTGTGGGTCCCCAATTGGCTCTCCACCCTGGGAGCCTTGACCTTCCCATCCACATAATAGGAATAAAAGAAAGAGGTCCATCTGATGCCCATGGGAAGGGCTCAATAAATGGGTGCACTGAGGAAGTCCTTTACTTCCCTCAGCTGGGTTCCTCAAACAAGAGCATTTCTGTCCAATGCCCCTCCCCCAAAAGAAGGTTTTGAGGTGCTGCAGCTGCTGTGGGAAACAGTTTGGTGATCTCACAAAAAGTTAAATACAGAATCACCTGATGACCCGGCAATTCCACTTCTAGTGAAGTGAAAGTCACTCAGTTGTGTCTGACTCTTTGTGACCTCATGGACTATAGAATACATGTAATTCTCCAGGCCAGAATACTGGAGTGGGTAGTCTTTCCCTTCTCCAGTGGAGCTTCCCAACCCAGGAATTGAACCGGGGCCTCCAGCATTGCAGGTGGATTCTTTACCAGCTGAGCCACAAGGGAAGCCCAAGAATACTGGAGTGGGTAGCCTATCCCTTCTCCAGTGGAGCTTCCCAACCCAGGAATTGAACCGNAGTAAAAGTCTAGAATTGGGAGGGGAGCATTGAAATATATATACTAGCAAATGTAAAACAGAGAGCTAATGGGAAGTTACTGTATAACAGGATGTTCAACCTGGTGCTCTGTGACAACCTAGAGCGTAGGGATGGGGTGGGAGGTGGAAGGGAGGTTCAAGAGGGGGGGACATATGTATCCCTTTGGCTGATTCATGATGATGTATCACAGAAACCAACACAACATTGTAAAGCAATTATCTTCCAATTAAAAAGAAATAAAGTTACATTTTAAAAAATAAATAAAAATGTAACTATTTTTTAAGAAAAATGAATTAATTGATAGCACAGTGAACTATATTCAATATCCTATGATAAACCATAATCAAAATGAATACAAAAAAGAACAGAGAACATATTTGGGAATGCAGGCAGCTACTCCTTTTCTTAATATGGGTACTGGTGACATGTGTGGGTTCACTGTGAGGACACACCAGTTCTAGAATGTGCACTTTCCAGCATATATATGGTACTTCAACTAAAAAAAAAATTAAAAATAAAATGAAGAGGTGTTGGGGGTTTCAATATCCTTCAAAATGCATTCTGGATTCAAATCACAGCTCTGCCCCTCCCCAAGTAAGCAGGCTGGAGTGAGCCCAGTCCCCATCCTCAGCTTCCATTTTCCAATCTGTAAAATGGGTTAATAATAACAGGACCTAACGCTTAAGGATGTTTGGAACACTTCAGTGAGATAAGGCTTGACACACAGCATGCAAAATTTCAGCCATTATTCCTATTTCTATTAGCATTTTATGGAAGTGAGAGAAATTCAAAGCTGACACTCTCAAGACCATGTGGGAAGCTGGCACGCCTGTCCCTCTCTGCACCAGCCCCCAAACTCATTCCAGATGCCGAGAAAGGCCCTTCAGCAGACCTGCCCTGACAGAGGTGACCCCACCCACCCTACTTGGGCAGTCATTATCTGAAGATGAAGATGCCAGCGACTGGCTCCAAAGCGAGCCCACGCCCATGGAGTGCTGGTTTGTCAGGTTAGCCCAGCCTGCAAACGGGGACTCGTCATACAAGGCATGCAGACTCCTGAGAAGGAATGCAGTGATGTGGACCCCGACCCACCAGAAACCATATGTCTGCCTCTCCTTGACCTACAGGTACTATGCATCCTACCTCTGCCCCCACCCACAAAGTGGCCTGACAAGCACCCAACACTGACTGGCCCCAATACCTCACGTTCCAGCCCTGCTCTCCATCTCGTCTCTCAGCCTTTAGTCAAGACAGTCTACCCCTGTGATCCCACTCTACACCAAAGGGCTGGCCCAGGCACAACTCTTATTTTTCCAAAGTGCCAAGCCCCAGATGGTATGATGGAAGGGGGCCTACCCCAAAATTTCTGGGGTTCAGAGAAAGAGATTCAGGGGGGCAATTATGAGGGCAGGGCCAAGTTGGAAGTTCAGGGTGTGAAGTCGGGGCATCTCGACACAGCTTTGGGCATATTGTAGGTGTTTGCCTGCAGTTACTTTGGCCCAAAGGAAATCTTGACAGAAAAAGGAGCTTAAAAGACACCAGTAATCTAGAGCATTTCAGGGCTGCAATTGTCTCTGCCCATCCAGAGTAACCACACTTGGATGTTCCTTGAACAGGACTCCATGAAGCTCTGCCTCTTAGCTGTGTGACCTCAGGAGAGTGTCCATACACCTCTTGGAGCCTCAGTTTCCTCATCCAAAAGACAGGAACCGTATTACCCACCTCCTAGAGCTGAGATGACATTTCCGCAATTTTTAATCTGCTCAGCTCAGTGCTTGATCAAGGACAAAAAGTCCTTGATCAAAGGTATCTCTCGTGGCTGTTGGTACCACCATCACATTCATTATTGTTACCCTGCCATACGAGGATTTAGAGAACCATGCCCAAGTCTTAACAGGGAGGAGAAATGGGGTCCCAGTCTCTGAATGTCCCCAGAGTCATCCAAGCACCTCCTCAGATAAACTCAGGTCACGGCCGGACACTCATCTGGATCTAACGTTACTGCTCCGAAACCCAAGCTGGGCTATACTGAGAGGCTGCAACCATCGGAAAGTACCCAGGATTTTGGGGTCAGCCAGGGCTGGTTTGTTCAAATCCCAGCTCCCCAACTGTTTCCCTCCTACCTCCAGCCTGAGACTTATCAGCTGATGGGCTTCAGTTGCCTTGCAGTGCTCCCAGCTGACTAACCATCCCCTGGTCCAAGCAGGCTGGTTCAGACCCCTGGGACACAACAGAACATTATCTCTTCATCATACAACAGACATCAGCTGGGAACAATGGCAGGACCTCACACCCAACTGTGGGGACCCAGGCAGGCATCCTCTTTTCATAGAGGGGCTCTTGGAGGCTCGATGCCTGCGAGGTGTGTGACCCAGGCAGGACCACAAGCCTAAAGTTTATCAGCAGCATGCAGCCTTCCCTTTAGGACAAAGTGAAGTGAAATCCCAGTGACCCCCATCAGTCTTAAGGAGGCGTCATAGGGCTGGACTCCGATCCGTCTACCAAAACCTGATGAGGAGTGCCTTCTTAAGACCTGGGTCTGCATGGACACCCAGAGAGAAGCATGTATCCAGGACTCCTAGGCTCACAACAGGAGAAACCTCGCAGATGCAGAGACGGTCGGGGATACACACATACACACCAGAGTCCCTTACAGGCAGTCCCCTCTTGGGTCCTGGGGATCCCTGGGGCCCGCGGTGCCCCGCCAGCCGCCGCGCGCAGCCCCTCGCACCCGCGGTACCAGCCCAGGAGCTGGTGCACCTCGGGTTACCGCGCTGGGCTGCCGCCGCTCTTAGGTTACAGCCCGCCCCTCCCCACACGCACTCACCCTGCGGATCTCGGCCTCCCGCCCTCGATCCGGATCTGCCTGAACCGCAACCTCGGGCTCTGACCGCGCAGTCACCAACCCAGCCCTTTAACCCTCCCCGCCGGCCGGCCGCGACGGGAGGCCCGCCCCGGGCACGCCCCCCGATCTCAACATCCTCTGGGCGGGGACCGAGGCGCGGCCCCCAGAGACCGGAGAAAATGAGAGACAGTGGAGACATGGAGGCGTGGACAGGAGCAGAAAGGGAAAGACCCCAGAGGCCCCAGTGAGAGACAGTGACAGGTGGAAAGATGGAGAACAAGATGCTGAGATAGAGAAAGAGACAGGTGAAGAGACAGACTTAAGATACCCAGAGGCCCCAAACCATCAGGCTTCCTGCCACCCTGACTGCCTTTGGCGCCTTTATCCCCCTCTGGACCACTCTCTAGGACCCATCTCCCACTCCAGCACCCCTCATGGCCGCCAATCCAGGGCCTGCTCCCAAGCTGGAACAGGGGTCCCTAAGCCAGCACCCGCAGGCCCCCAGGAGCCTCCTCTGGGATCCCCAGAAATTCTCAAACTCCAACAGCCCTTGGGAACCAGCTCTCCCGCTCCCTCTGGATCTCAGGTCCAACCCACCCACCTGGGGCTCTGCAACCAGGAAGATTTCCGAATTCAACAAGCACCACAGACTCTTTTTCTGCTCCTCCCACTCCAGCCATCTCCTGCCAGCCACCCTGACCCCTCCAGCTAGCATGTTGTCCTTGGCCAGCCCACCTGCTCCAGATGTACCTGGCAGAGTCAGCCAGCCTCCAGTCACCATTGCCTGACCTCGGCAAGAGGGCAGGCAGATAGGAGGACTCACAGCTGGCCTCCAGCCCCCCATGGTCTTCCCAGGGCAAAGCAAATGACCTTGCACATACCGGATGCCCAAAACTGTCAAAGGAGGGAGAAAAAAACCCTGGAGAACAAAGGCCCAAGGTTTTATTTCAGGGCCATCTAGGAAACCTGAGGCACAGGCTACAGGCTTGAGAGGAGACATCTCCCCTCAAGACTGTCCAGATTCAGGCAAGGGCTAGGTCAAACAGAGAAGCCTGAAGCTATGAGAAAATAATGGTCCCCTCTTAATGAGCTCCAGAGTTAAAATTATAGTAAACCATAAAGAAATTGAAGAAAGGGCAAAGACGTTCAGATTTCTTCCCCCGGAGGGCCACCATTCTGAAGCATTTTGATTTATTAGAGAAAAAAAAAAGTTCTAGATGCAGTTACAGACTTAGTGAGGGGCAGGTGAGCCAGTCCCAGCTCAGGGGGCTGATGAGGCAGGAGGTCTGGTTAGCCTGGTGGAAGGGCCAAGAGATGGAGCAGGCCCAGAGCAGTGCTGGACTCTCAGAAGACAGAGCCAGGGATCAAGGTCAAATGCAAAGCTGTGTAGCACAGTGCTTAGGGTGTGGACTCTGAAGGCAGAGAGTTCAAATGGCTTCTTCACTTACTATATGTCCACCTCAGAAGTTGTCAGAATGCCTTAGGGAAGCTGTTCTCACCCAAGGTGATTCTGCCACCACACTCCCCACCCCTGCTCCCTAGACACCTCTGGCAATGTCTGGAGATACATTTGATCATCACATCTGGGAGCTGGGGTACTATTGGCATCTTGTGCATAGAGGCCAGGGATGCTGCTAAACACCCTATGATGCCCACACAGGAGAGCCTCTCACAGCAGAGAAAGTCAACAAGGCCCAAGTTGAGAAACCCTGTTTCAAGGTGTAAGGAGCACTTTTGTTTTTTAGCATATAGTAAGTACTATGTAAGCGCTGTCTGCTATTATTAACCACGGGGAAGCTTCTAGCCTTCTCCCTCACCAGCAAATCCTGATTGCTAATTCCACATCCTGGTTCAGAGAAAGCCAAGACTTCCCTACCCGGTCCATAGGCAAGTCCTGCTTTAGCCTGGCTCTGGCTCTCCTTGAAATTGGGGTCTTCCTAAGAGTGCCCCCCCAAGACTAGCCAGTGCTGAGCTGAGCAGCCATTGGCTCAGAGTTAGTCCATACAACGATGAAGCACCCACCGTGCACTGAATATTGTTTTAGAGCTGGGAATATAGCAGAGAATAAAAACAGACCTAATATCTGTCCTCATGGAACTGAGATTCAAGTGGGGAAAGTAGACACAGACATTCCCACCAGTAAAAGGATATAACACAGGGTTTTGCCATGAGGTAAAAGGGCTCTACTATATGAGGTTAGGTATCAGTTTTCCAGCTAAAATCTGAATAATGAGAATAAATGTCAAATCACATTGAACATCCTGAATATACACAAGTTTTATTTGTCAATTATACCTAAATCAAGCTAGGAAAAGAATACATTTTCAGTGAATGAATGAATGAATTTTTACAAGTCTGAACCTTACAGAAAATACTCTGACTGGTTTCCAAAGCATGATACAAGTATCCTTAGCTATTCAGTCTACTAGTCTTAATTTTATTTATTTTCTTTTATTTGGGGCAGAGAAAGGTTTGTTGCAGGGCCAAGCAAGGAGAACAGGTGGCTTATGCTGAAAAAGAACCTGAACTCAAGCCTGGTAATTTTATATGTCACACAGAGGAACATTTTCTATTCATTTTCTGTTTTATATATTTATATTAAATGAGATTTGTTTTAATATGTAGAAGAAAAAATACACTTGGCCTGAACATTAAATCCCCAGTCTTATGGGTGTAATAAAAGCAATATGAATTTTGCTTAAAATAAATAAGGCTTAAAAGGAAGAGCACTGAGAGAAAACTATTAAGTAACAGAAAGGTAAGACCTAGTCAGGGCAAAAATGTGACAGGTGATTGTGAATGGCTGAAATTTCAGAATCCAAAACCATCTGTCTGGATTAAGATAAGGACAGAGGAGGAGGCTGAAAATCCCTCAATTTGAGTTTTGGAAAAATGAGGGCACTGGTCTTTCCCAAATTCCAGAAAGAGGCAGAGGGCTCAAAAGTTGAAGGAGAGAATTCTAGAACAAATGTAAGATGCCCCACTTGCCCCAGCGGGTGGTAAATGTGGCTGATTTCTTTCTCTGTCAATTTCATGAAGTTCTCAGTAGGTGGCGAGAGTGGGAGGGGGTAGTGTTTCCAGGTGAAGGAGAGGACATACAAATAATTGAAGCTTTGCTGCTGGGAGGAGGCAGAAGGGAGGCCAGAGCAGGCAACGTGAGGGATGTGACATCTGAACCAGGACTTCAGGGAGAGGTTGGATTTCAGCAGGAGAGGGGGTGGGGCTCCAGCACAGAGACACCAGAGGAGCAGGCTGGGCAGGTGGCTTTCCCTGGCCTTGGGGTGTGAGACAGGGAGGCTGGAGGCATCCAGTCCAAGTGCCTGAGGGTTGACCTGGTGAGCAGTGGGGAACCGTAGACGGTACTGGACCAGGGAAGAAGCCCATTGGTTGTTTTGTCTCGTTTTTGTTCATGTTTATTTATTTACTTACTTTGGCTGTGCTGGGTCTTCACTGCTGCACAGGTTTTTCTCCAGTTGCAGTCGGGGTGTGCTACTGTCGCACTGTCTGACACAGGCTTCTCATTGTGGCGTCTTCTCCCGCTCTGGAGCCCAGGCTGTAGGCACTCCGGCTTCAGTAGTTACGGCTCCCCGGCTCTAGAGCGTGGTCCAGCAATTGTGTGGCACAGGCTTAGTTGCTCCGTGGCATGTGAGATGTTCCCGGATCAGGAATCAAACACTTGTCTACTGCATTGGCAGGCAGATTCTTTGCCAGGGGGCCACCAAGGAAGCCCTGGTTATTGTTGCCGTTGTTTTTAATCTGAATGTTTTTTTTTTTTTGGCTGTGCTGTGTGGCTTGTGCGATTTTAGCTCCCTGACCAGGGGTTGAACCTCAGCCCTTGGTAGTGACAGTGTGAGTCCCAACCACTGGACCAGCAGGAAATTCCCACTTGGTTTGTTTTAAAGCACATTGGAGCTTTTTTTTTTTTAATTTTACTTCTAATTGGAGGATAATCACTTTACAGTATTGTGCTGGTTTCTACCATCAGTCAACATAAATCAGTCATAGGTATATGTATGTGCCCTCATTCCTGAGCCTGCCTCCCAATTCCCACCCCATCCCACCTCTCAAGGCTGTCACTGGTGGATGTCCTCACTGGTGCCTCACTGGATGTGGGTTTCTAGGGAAGTGAGGAGGAGAGGGTGTGAGCCCAGCTTTTCTGCCCTGAGAGCTGGAGACAAGGAAGGAGGAGCAAGCTGAGAGGCCTGGGGATGCGGAATCACTGAGAGGAGGCTTCCTGGCTGTGTGACCTCAGGCAAGTCACATGATCCCTGTGGTCCTCCATCCCCGGACAGATAAAATAGAGGCAATGACCAGGAGATTAGATGGTGTTTGCGGGGTCCTCAGCCCCATACTTGGTACAGAGCATGGGCTGGACAAATGTCAGCACAAGTTTCAGGTTTGATTTGGGCTATCCTAGCAGTTCTCAACTGGGACACACTGTTCCCCCAGAGAACATTTGGCAATGTCTGAAGACACTTTGGGTTGTCAGACTGCAGAGTGAGAAGTGCTGCAGGGATCAATCTAGTGGGTGGTCACCAGGGACACTGTTCAGCATCCTATGATGCAAAGGATGTCCCCCACAGCAGAGAACGATGTGGCCCCAAATGTCAGCAGTGCCAAGGTGGAGACACCCTGACTTACCTTGAGTCTAAAAAAGACCTGTTAGTCGTGCATACAGACACCCAGGAGGCAGCTAGAACTACCATGAGCAGTGTGTCTGTGACTCACCTGTATTGGGAAGACAACAGATGCCAACGTAATGAGTCAGTGATGTTATTCCAGCAGTTGGACTGAGAAGAGGATGGGAAGAAGTGTTGATCACAGCTGTGTTTAGAGAGAGGACAGGCAGAGGCATGGAGCTGGAGGTGGAGATAGGTCACATCGGGAAGGTGGAGGAAGCCAGGTAAGGAGCAGCTTCACCTGTGCCAGAGGTCAAGCAGCCCAGGCACTAACAAGAGTCAGGACTGTGTGGTTACCAAATCACCAGAGTCCTCAGCCGGGCTCAACAGGCTGAGGTCAGAGTAGG